TGCAAAGTTCAAATACAAAGCTCACAACGGAGAGTTAACATTTAAAACTTGGAATCATATATAATGTGATTTGAAAGAAAAATAAACTTAGTCTAATATAGGGTCTGTTTGATAATACTAAAGTAAATTGAATTAACTTATTTGGCTGAAATTGATTAAATTCTGGTTGAATGGGTTGAATAGGTGGAATCTCCCGAATCATGAAAAAAATACTCGTATGTAAAATATATTCCATTTGTGAAACAAAAAAATATATATGAAAAATAGTTAAATTGATCTTCTACATAAGCATCTCAAGTAAACATAATTGTTATGAACTAAAGAATTCATAATCTCACGTCCTCTAAATTACTTTACTACAATGTTCTAAAAGACGCTAGGCACTAGTTGGGCGCCAGCACAGCGCCTAGCGCCTAGGCGGGCGCCTAGGCGGGGACTAGTCGGAGACATAGAAACTGCATTTTTATCTATATTTTTGCATAAATATGATAAGTAATATTGTATTCTTGTGTCTATAAAATACATATATACATATACATCGACAATAATCATGAATGATAGAATTATCACATTTAATTATACGTAGTATATGATAACTAATCACTTAACTTCATTATGTTATAAATATAAGTAATGGTAAAATTTAGGTATATATACAATCAGGGAACTCTTCCGGTAAGGTATACCTTACCGGAGCCGCCGTGCGGCCTCCACGTTTTGAGGGCCTTCTCGGTAGAATTTTTCGATGAAATTTTTTGAGCATGTTCTTTATCAAGTCTAGTACATCCATACCAAAGTTCAGCAAAAAATTCAATCGGGAAGATAGACAACTGATTTTTGGAAGATAACTGCACCCTTTAAAAATTCAATCGGGAAGGCAGTCTAGTATACCTTACCGGAAGTTTTTCCTATACAATCATATATAGTTTTATCTTAATTTACAACTTCATTTCTTTATATCCATTGCTAAAATTAAAGTGTGTATATCGCTTAGAAAATTAAAATTAAAAAGTGAAGTAATGTTCGGCAAATCTAGACGGCCTAGGCGGCCGATTAGGCGCTCTAGGAGGGCAACTAGGCGCCATAGGCGGCCGACTAGTTCACTTAGACGGTAAACCAATTAGTCGGAGTGCCTAGATGAAAATCGGGGCGCCGGACCACCGCCTAGCGCCTAGGCGGGGACTAGTCGGGCGCCTAGAACGATTTTTAGAACAGAGCTTTGCTATGCACCTCAAGTTTTCTTCTTCTAATATTCCTCATTCAACTTGATGTGAAATAATTAGTACATACTTTTAACTTTTAATAATAAGATGTTACATTTTACTCATTATTTCGTCACACTTTAAATATAAAAAGTACATATTCGGCACGAAAAGTACAAGTATAAGGCTAAAAAATACCAAAGCCAAACAGCGGACGGACGTCGCCACCAAATATGGGCACCAGGCAGTTAAGTTCATACTTGCGCACTTAAACAGAAAATAATGTGAAGCGACACCAAACGCAACGATGGATGAACGTCGTCGCTGGATACAAACATCAGGCGGATACGCTCGTCCCCATATGCTTGGCGAAATATAGGATGTGAGGCCAAGTAATGCCTTGACAGAATTGCCAGTATCATCGGGGATGACCTTTTGCACACCAAAGGAAAACTACGCACATCATCAAATAAGGGTCTCGTGCACAATTATCAAACAAAGGAAATGACAAAGTAGAATGACGCGAACGTAGAGACAATCGTGAAGCAAAATGTGGTTGTATTCCTCAGCACTACCGGCTGGAATTTACAATCAAACCAAAAGCGAAGAAAGATGAATTACATCAACAAAAAAAGGGGACTCAAGCCGAACTTCTTCCTGAGCAGGCTCCTCCTCTTCAAGCTCTGGCTTGGGGGAAGGGGGTTCCGGGATTTCGCCCTTTGCCTTGGCCTCCTCACGGTGCCGATCTCTTTCCAGCTTACCTAGAGTTCGGATCAGCTCGGCGTCCTCAGTATGCTGGGCCAAGTCGAAGCTAGGGCCTTGCAGAGCGGCAAAGATGGGCAGTGTGGCCTTCACCCCCTCGTTGTAACCTATGGCAAAGGAGCTGTCCCCGACGTCGTATAAAAATTTTTCGGACAGGGGAGCACTCTCAAGCACACGGACCCCGAACGCCAGGCGGTCCTTCGGCTTCTGCTTCTTCAGCTCGGCCGAGAACACATCGCCAAACGCACCCCCGCAGTACCTCTGGGCAGCAATCACAAATGCCCCGGTATTTTCATACCCAGAGGTGTCGACGAGCCATTGGGGGGCCTCGTCCTTGAGGGTGGGAAGGACAGGGACGAGCTTGAACCCGGCCTTCTCAAGGAACGCCACTTGTTCAGCCGACTCACGAGCCGCCTTCAGAGCGGCCTGAAGCTCCTTCTCCTTCGCCGCAGCCTCCTTCTCATGGAGACGGGCGGCTTCACGCGCCTTCTTCAGCGCGGCCTCCGCCTTGTTCTTGGCCTGCAGGGCGTCCGCTTCCCTAGCAGCCTTAACTTGAAGAACGCAAATCCCAGTCTACAAAAAGAGAAGATGCATAAGGATATAGGGCTCCGGGGAACTCATAATCATCTGTTCAGCGTTCAGTACAACTTACCTGAAGGGCGGCTGCCAGAGCAGCGTTGGTGGCTTCAGTAGACGTCCGGGCTAACAATTCCACCCCGGCCAAAGAGGCGATTTCCTCCCAGACATCAGTGGTCGGACGCCTCAAGGGGGAGGGCCGTTTGCTGTGCTACGGGGCCCGAAGAGCCGGCCTCGCGGGGCCTCTTCACCATTTTGTCCTTCGCCTTTTCCCCACCCTTGGGGGGGACCGTCTGCAGGGGCGCCACAACCTCGGGGACGCCAGATTCAACGATGGGGGCTTGGGACCCCTGCGCCATCACCGCGGCAATTAGATGTTGCTCTGCCTCGACCGAACGACGATCGGCCTGAGAGGCGGAAGAGTTGGACTCAGAGTCTTGGGCAGCCTTGGCCTTGGCGAGCACAGCATCGGTGGCAACACCCTTACCTTTACGATTCTTCAGGAGCTTTTCGTGATTCATCTGGGCCTGAGTTGGGGGAAGACCTGAAACAAGAAACGAAAAGAGTTAGCATCGGGCGGCGTGGGACCTTAAGGTACTCACCTCGGAGGACAGGACCGCCCGGATCCCAGAGACAAACGTAGAGGGGATGGGGAATCTAGAGGTTTGGGTGGTACCTATCCCCGCCTCGGCGATCTTCTCAAAAGTCAGGAGGTCTTCCACATCCTGGACTCCATCAGCCATCATCTTTTCGACTTGCTCTTCCAGCTCGTCCAACAGCTTTGGAGAACCGACCTTGGGAGGATACCCATTCCAATGGATGGGCAGACGAGCGTCCGCATAGTGAACGAAGAAGTACTTGTTTTTCCACTCATGGATGGACGTCGGAGCCCCCTCGAAAAGCCTCCGCTTGGGACGTGCGGCGGTGCTCAGATACCCATCGGAATTTTGGGGGGTGAGCCGGAAAAAGTAATGGAACAACTCCATGGTCGCGGTTACTCCAACAGCCTTACAATGAACGAGGAATGAAGAAATAAAGCGATAGGAGTTGGGCATAAACTGCGCCGGGGCCACGTGGAAACAACTAAAAAATTCAATATAGAAGGGATGAAGCGGGAACCGCAACCCGTCCCTGATAGAATCAAAGTGCACCATAACCATTCCCGGGCGTCTCCTCATCACATGGGTTGCACCTCAGATACTGTAGACGAGCGAATCAGGGAAGTAGATGCTAAGCTCCTTGAGAGCCGGGTCCGAGAAGAACTAATCATGCCCAATCACATACTTTATGGGGCAAACATGACGCTCCACGTCAACCGTAAGGCCCAAATCAAACACCTCCACATCGGACCCGTCAACGGCTTCATTGCCCGAATCATAATCTTCTGGACGCTCATCATCGGCGGCCACGTCCTCTATAACCATCTGGACTGCGCCCTCCTAGGGGGGCGCCCCCATTCCCCCTAGAGGTAGCGTCATCTTGAAGTGTGTCAACTGAAGTGGCGCTCGCAGAGATAGAGGTACCAGGGACGTCATCCTGAATAACCGTCCCTACAACGGGTGGGGAGCCGGAGCGACCGGAGATACCGGTCCCCTTAGAAGAACGGGAGCCAGACTCAGAGTCAGAAGTGGAACTAGAGGAAGAGCCCGAACCCGAACTCGACGAAATCTCCATTGAAGTCATTTGGAGAGCCAAAAAGGGGTTACAAGAAGGGGAAAATAAAACCAAAATTACCTTGGGAACAACGGAAGCAAGCTGGGACCCTTGTCGACGAGCTGATTGCAGAGCGGCAGAGATTCTAGAGCGAGAGAGCAGAAATCGGGAACCCTAAGCCTCTGGGAAATCCAAGTATTTATAAGGGAAGCACTGTTTCGTGAAGCCAATAGGGAGGTGACGCGTGGCGAGGAGCGTACCCATGAGCACGCGTCGCGCGTGGAGTAAGGAATGTAATGATGTCCTTTCCTCGGGAAACGCACCGTTTCTGCGGCAGCCGTCACCTCGATTCCTGGACCGTCGCTAATTAAGAAACACCGTGGTGAGGAACGTCCGTCTCCAAGGACGCGGCAAGCGTAGCCCCGCGCCAGGAACGTCTCACCCCTGAGAAGCAGTATACTTCCTTATGTCCCACGCATGCTCGGAACATCATAAGTGGGGGACTTGTATTGGGTTAATGGCCCAAGTAGAGGGCCGGCCCATTCACCCCCTCATTCGGACGAGCGTCCAGTCCAACGCCCAGTCCAGTCCATCCCGACGAACGTCCAGACAGGTAATGGTGAGTCAGGCCCACAAGCAATATACAGTGGCGACGAACGTCGCCACCTCAAGCCACAACCACTTGATGCCAATCCAATCTAAGTGACAAATCCTCTAAGCGCAGGATACGAACGGCCCACTGCCCTTTGCGGCATCATCAGGAGAAGGCCCCCATCCCAGCTGGACGTACGTCTCCACAAGTTAGGCAGGAAACCCATATTCTGGCGGGAAGCGCATTTAATGCTGAAGATTTGGTGGTTGGGACACCAGCCACACACAGCCCTCCACGTCAGCATAGCCAACTGCCCATTGGTGGAATAAATAGCAGCATTTATTTCATTGTAAGGAGTTGGCAACTTATCTGCCTTAGCATTCTAGCTCATATTTCTCTTACTCGCAGCTCTTCTACTGCCTGGTAAGACGTACGGCCGACGAGCCTCAGCAAGTGTATTGTATTGGGGAGTTATTAACAGATTAATAATACCTAATCTCTTACTTGCTACTTATTGTCTTGAATCCATCTCACTTGTTGTCGGGCTAGTTACTTATACACACATACACCACTCCACTCGAAATCTTTGGACTTACGTGTTGGACCCAAAGGTTGAAGGAATAAACCTCAACACATAGAAAAAGGTGAGTCTCCATACTTGATCGTTTGGGGCAAGTCGGACCGTAGTATCAATAACATTTGTATGGCACTGGACAACATTCAACTCAAGGTCGTCATTCCATCCGATTATCAGTCCCCCGCTAAGCCCCGCACTATCCACCCCCACGGACTTGCCAAAGTCGTGCCCCCATAGTATATTTTTTGCTCGTTGGCACCAGATTTTTGTTTCCATGAGGAAAATCAAAGATGGTTGATGAGCCTGAACAACATCCGCCAAGCATTGAACAGTTGCCGGTGTTGGGATAATGGACCAGGCCCAGTGCCGTCGGCCCGTTATCCCCGAGCTTTGGCCCAACTAGGCCCAAGACACAGTCTCACGAGCGGAAATAGCCCATTGCTCATTTACTTATTTATCGGGCTTGTTCGCCCAATAGCTTGGACATCTATTATGTATTTGGGCCAAGCCCGCGTAGGTTAGGCTTTGGACTTGTGATGGATGCCTATAAATAGGCCATCACCCCCATGTATTCTCTATGTTATTTTCACTATACTGAAATGCTGCTAGTTTCTCTATCTGGAATATTTTCTACCAACAGCCGGATTACCAAGCCCACGACAATTCCAGCTAATAATACTCATTTGCCAAGACTGCCGGGCTTAGCAAAAAACACTCGCCGCCGGAAAACAGGCTAGGATAAAACCTAGAAATCCATCTACACTTGGAGGCTAAAACCCGCCCCAAGAAAACTCACATGCAAACTTCGGCCGCACCCTGCACTGCCCGCTGCAATCTTCTCCCTGATGCCCTCGATTTTCAATGCTAGGATTCCTCCACAGTGACGCCGGCCTGAGAGGACACTCCAGTGCTTTTGCGATCCCCTAATGTCCACCCGACCGACTCCTCCGGCGAACTTCTCACGCCAATCGGCAAACGACGAGCGCTGCCATTAGGGATTTTTTACCGCTGGTTTGGGAACGACCGATGTTGTCTAGACTCTGGACGAAAGAATATGTAAACTTGAATAATTAATCTATTTATATTATTAAATAAATATGTAAAATGCTAATTATTTAAAACATTGAGAATTAATGGTTCATCTCGATCAAATGTAAATATTACGTAGTACTACCTCCGTCCCATTAGGAGGTTCCAATTACGGTTTACGATGTTTGACTGACAATAAAACAACTTAATCCCTGTTCACACTCTGATTATTTTTAGTAAATAAAATTTACATATTCAGTAACTACATTAAAACCGCTACAAAGGCTGATAAAAAAATGTAAGTTTGATAAAAAAAAAATTAATATATAAAGTAAGAGATTAAGAATGATTTAAGTTGACCATGTGAATAGTGAACGACAACCTTTAAATGGGAAGGAGAGAGTAATATATTAGATGACCCGGGAATTTATGATGTATTATACATGTGTATATATATGTATATTTGTAGCATAATTTAAAACAAATTATGTATACAGGATATATTCAACGGGAAAAGTAAAAGAAGAAAAAAGAGGTAAAAGTAAAAGGAGAAGCGAGAAAATTGCAACCCAATAAGAAAACGACGCATCTCCGGATGGACCGGATGACATGCTCAATTGGTTCGTAGAGGTCGCCCAGTCTATTTTGAAAAGATACAGATGGTAATTTAGATTATACGATAGTAATAATAGTAGTATATTCGAATTAGTAATGGTTAGTTGAGATTAAAATGTGAAAGACTACGGGACTAATATATGCTATCGTAATTGACTAATCCTATTTGTACACAACATTTTACATGCCGCCCGACAATTTGACACGCCGCCAGACAATTTGATCGACATTTTGTGAAAAAATCATTTTTCGCATAAACAGAAACAAAAGTTGTGTGTGTTTGTGCATTTGATCGGCGTGTAAAATCCTGTGTACACGAAACATTCATACTTGTGTTGGTATAAAAACGAGAGAGAGATTAATCAAGACTTTAAAAGCCACACTTGTGTGCGAAAAGGTTGATCAAAGCGAGGGTAATGCTGATATGGCCGCTGACATTCCGGATCCCATCGGCCACCAACGACTTAAGCCCCGTATCCGACACGTCTCCGATTTCATCCTCACACGTATCTTCATCCGTAAGCGCCGCGCTCATCCACGTCTGCAGGTTGCTAATCTGCAAATGCAGCACTTCTGTCTGATTTGGCGTGAGATGCTTCACCTGACTCAGCGACATTTTCACACCGTCCACGCAATCTCCCATGGTCTCCAAGCAATCTCCCAGTCCCTTCTCACCACTATCCTTTATGCTCTTGACCACGAACTTGGCCTCTGTCAAGGTGAGGTTCATGGCCAGCTTGACCAGCTTGTAGACCTTGAGCTTTTCCAAATCCCCGGCGTGGCCGGACAGCCACCCGTAGCATGTGGATGTGGTCTTGTTGTTTGCAGAATTGCAGGTGTCGTAGATGAATGATTTGGCGGCGGCAGCGGAAGGCGGCGTGCTGCTACTGCTTGCGTGGAGAACTGCGGCGGCAGGTAGCGGTGGCTGTATTACTGAACAGAGGAAGATCATTATCAGGGCGGAAGAGGCTTTCATGGTTATATATTAATAACAACAATGCTTCATAAATTAATTAGTTTCTAATAATAATAATAATAATAATTAATCGCTCTCTAATAGGTAGATCACAAGGAATTAAGATCATGGATAATCTGGGAGATGGGCAGAGATGGGATGAGGAGGGACAGAGCTAGCTAGCAGCAGCAGCATAAATACTTTGTAAAATTGTAAGCAGCAAATTTAACCTTTATGATTTGAGATTACTCTTTTACCCTTCCCACCGACCATGCCATTTTCCTTGTTTTCGGTCATTTTCTCCCTTTTTCTTTTTGACTCTACCTTTCTACCATCATTGTTTTAAGAAAAAACTCTTGTTTTATACGTCTCTTTTAGAAATAATTACATATTTATCATTAGAATAAATATTGTTTATAAAAATGTGATTGATGACTATAATAGTAATGAAATTATAGTAACTATTAATCATATTTATGTAAATAAGTTTTAATTTAGTAATATTTTTGAAAGAAATCCTCAATTTTATCAATGTCACTAATTATGCGACTAATGTCGCAAATAACTTTGATTATATTTTAAGAAAATTTGTTTGCCATACTTAGAGAATTTGAAAAAAAAAAAGTATCAAAGACAATTTTTCTATCAATATCATAGGCAAATTGTCGATTAAATTAAGTTGGGTGGGTACGCGGGTGTTAGACATGCGAGGGCGAAACCAAGAATTTTATTTGATTTAATCACACTCATGTCACTCCATGACTAATTTGATGCAAATCATTCATTTTGAACCAACAAATAATGAGTAATTTTTGGGTACACGGTTAGAGCAAATATTTAACGGTTTAATTTTACATTTATTAGAATTGGTCACGAAAGTCGATGATACATTTATAAGACTTAATGTTGACTGTTAGGACATTTTTTACATGAAGTATATTAATATGAAAATTGATGTAATTTAGGAGGGAGTTAACCAGTGCGAGTTGTCATAGTCTTTATGACGGGTCCGAAACTGTCACAACATATGAAACGTCTAATAAAGCATTATTTACTTTTCCGATAAATTGAAAATTATTCTATTGTAAACACAAGACATTCTTGTTTGAAAATACACATAATACTATTCTTGATTTCTAGCTTAATTTATATTACCCATATTACTTGATTTTCTTATTGTTCATGTATGTGACCCCATCAATATACATATATTGATTGGACAAACATAACGATATAAGTTTAGGGTAGAGGATATAATCATATATTAAGGATATAAAGATCACTTTAATACAATAAATGAAATCAATAATGACTCATTGGCTCATATAACAAAACTAGTATAGTACCCTTGCGATGCACGGGACGGGGTCGGGGGATCGAATTAATTTTCATATTAAATAATAGCTTATTGAAACACCACATATGTCTTATTCTTTTGATGAACTTTGTCTTAATTTAATATGAAGTTTGTCAATATAGATCATATGTGTGTGGTAAGAAATAACTAATTGAGAAAATCCCATCATATAGACCATATATGTGTTGTATGAAATAAAAGATGAATATATTGAAAGTTGAGGAGAAATAGATTTTCAAAGAAATATCTCAACATCAGATAAATGTTGTATTTGGCTCTTGTGTTTATAATTCTACATATTTTGAAAGTTGTCTGTCTAGTCCAAAATCTAATTTTCTCGTGTAACTTCTACCTATGGAAACTTGATAATATATGATTAGGTGAAATAATATTACACCATTGACATGTATAGACTAAATAAAATATAATAAACACAGATGGAGCTTTGAAGATTTGATGGAGGGCACACGATTTTCTAATTTTCTAGGGAGGGAATGTTATTCTTTGAGTTGAGTTTTTATTTCTTTATTACGCACCCTACTTCCTACTTTCCTTTTCTTTTTATCTTCAATTTGTGTACTTTCTTCTCTTGAATAAATTTTCCTTTTGGTTAAAAAAACACTAAATAAAATAAAAAATAATATCAATTCACATAAAGTAGTATATAAACATTTTTAAAAGATAATATTCTTAGTCAATAATTGAAAATAATACAAACGGTTTACTAAAAAAAATACAAACTTTACATGCGTCCATCACTGCATATAACAAAAACACATAGCTTTCTTGATCTAGATCATCAACTTTTTCCAATAATTTTCCAAAACAGAGTATCACGAAGTTTCCCTTGCAATAATAAGACGGAAAATATAAGTCCATTTGATGATTAAGAGCCTTATAATTAGAAATTGGAAAGAGAAAAGACACATCACAATCAATCACAATCAATTGATCAAACGCTCACAAACTACGAAATTCAAATTCTCTCAATGAAATCTACCAAATTCGAACACTTGGTAGTAATAAAACGTCGTCTAGACGTATATGGGAGAAGATGCAAAAAAAGTTGTCACGCTCCCCCACAGCTAGTGTAATAGCAGAAGCATCTTAGAAGCACCTAGTGTGGACAACTTATGGGTCGGGCTCCTCATACTCCCCTTTGAAAATCCACATTTGCTAGAATATGCTAAGGAGAACATAGTAGAACCAGAGAAACACCATTGAGAATAATAATACCATAAAGAGTTACAGACCCTTCCTCATATTTATAATTCATACCACACTGCATGATCGAGTTGTATGTGGTCTCATGGAAGGCTGGAAAAAGGACTTATAAAGAACCAGAATTTTTCTTCCCCAAATGGTGATGACCAGTCCATCAAGCAACTCATAGTACTTTCTATAGAATTGTTCGTTGCAGTTTCAAGATCCTACTTGATAACCCGCTTTCGCGGCGTTGTAGTAAAACGGAGTCTAACCTTTCGGTTTATCCCCGAGTATCGTGTCTCTGAGGAGTGGCGGAGGGAAGTGTTGGTTTTGATATCGGTCACCGGTTAGTACGAGTCGTTGCAAGCTTTCTCAATCGATTAATTGTGATAATGGTTAAGTAAATAAAATTAAACAAAAAAACTAGTAGCGGGGAATTTAATTAAATGACATTAATGAGTAAACTAAAAGTAGTGAACATGCAAAATAAATTGAGAGAGAAATTAAAATACTAATTTAAACTAGCGAACATGTGGATGAAAAAAGTTTTGAAAATAAAATGCTAAAAGGTAAATTCAATGTGACTAGTAACAATAAATTAACTAATTAAAAGTGGGGTCTAGATTTGGAATTAAGGATCTTGGGTGTCATCGATTATGAATAAAAATGGGATAATTTCTCCAATCTAAGAATAGTGACATTAATTCTCATAGACAAGAATTTAATTTTAATTCCCCTAACATGTCCTATTTCTAGGTTTAGTTTAGGGTGTGTGAGATGTGAGCTAAATTAATTCCAAACTCATAGACAAGAAAGAATTAATCTTCCAAAAATTCACAAGTGAAGTGATCAATTTCACAAATTACTCTTTCAATTTCAACTCAAACAACCAGTCTTAAAAATAGAGAATTTTCCCAAATTTAACTCAATATTCAAGAACACCCATTAACCTAAATTTTATCCAAATCCAAACCCCATGAAGATTTAGCCTAACATATTCATCAAGAAACTAACACAAATAAACAAAACAGTGACATAATTCAGGCATAAAATTAAACTGAAATTCGAACTAGTACACATCAATTCAAATGTAAATGGAGAGATATTCGAAGCTGATGAGTTAATCCAAAAAAGAAACGAGTTCATAAGCTTATTCAACAATGAGTATAAGAAAGAAATCTAGCATAAAACATCAAGGCTAAGAATTGAAAGACGATAGAAGATAAATCAATCAAACTTATTGAGACTGGAGAGACATTCAAGTGTAAATGGATAGATATTCCTGCTGCTAGTTGCTTACTACGGTCCTTGGATCTACATATTTTCCTCCTTGCGGCTGAGTGTTGCGGGTGTATATTTTCAGCTCAATCCTTTGCTTCCTTCGAATTGGAGCAGGGTGTGTATATGTTTCTGCAGCTGAATTGTGACTTCCCTTGCGGCCAAGAGCTCTTTTATTGCAACTAGAAATGCACTCCTTATTTTCTTGGTTGGCTGATGGAACGAGCTGTCCCTTCCTGTTTGACCGCCCATGTGCAGGAGCTGCTTGCTAACTTTCCTCCTCTTGTTTTTGTTGGCCGACTACTCCCATCATATGTGCCTTGTTTTTATTTTCGTTTTTGGTTTCTTTTTCTTTTCTTTATTTTTGTTTTCTTTTTTGAAATGCAGCCACGCTGCTTTATTTTTTTTTTGTATGTTTTCTTTGTTTTTCACGCAGCTTAGCTGCAGTTGTTTTTTTTTTATATTTTTTTGCTTTTCTTTTGATAAACTAATGCACTTCATTGGTTTATTGTGTTAAAAAAAATACAAAATATATATATGACACAAGTAAGTGAAAACCAAAACAAAAACAGTCCAAACACTTCAATAAATCACAATTTACTAAAAAACGTAAATTTAAATACTAATTTCAAACATTAACACAAATGCAACAAAAAACGCAGAAAAGTGACTCTATTTGCCCCGATTTTGACAAGAAACGCCACAGAAAGTGAGTGAAAATAGATGAACAAATCGGACTTATCACTACTCGAACTTGAGTTCCACTCGATATATTTGAAGTATTTGAAAAATGAAATGCTCAGTTCAGTTATTCATATCTTCCTTTTTCAGCGCCAAAGCTTTAGTAGTGTTAATTGTTAAGTTAGTGTATATACATACAAATGTTTATAATCCATAAACGAAATATTTCGATACATATACCACATCTTAATTGTTAATCCACAAAAAAGTTTTCAAACTACTGCCTTCTGTATATATAGCATGCATGCTTCTAAGAACAAAAACCAAATATAGCTTGATTCACAAATTAGCCAAAATGATAATCAGTAAATCTCAGAATTTCCAATCAAGTTAAGCAACTAAAACTTACTACGCATAATGTATAACCTGAGATTAGAAACAGAAATATGGCCTCTCCCCTTCTTATCCTTCAGCTTTACCATTTCCAAACGGGTCATTGAAATGCTTGTTGCTTGTCGTCTTGTTATTAAAAATCGAAACGTCCCTGCATCATATTTAAAAAAAAACGGAATACATATTTGGACCATCCTAAGATGAAATCTATAACTGACATAAATTAATAAACCAACCGAATGAACGGGGGGGGTGACTCTTCACCTTTCGCGACTATCCCAAATGACACAGATGACTGGAAAATAAGCTTCCTGGCCTGCAGACCCCATAAGAGGTTGAAGGATTTGCCGCCTTACCATACCCAATGGCCACTGAAACCCTTTGCCGCTCTCCGTGACCTATCAATGACCGAAGCCTTCCGCCATAATCAGGTTTCTCCCCAACTCAGCTATGATTTTTACATTTTGCCCCCATGTTTATCACATCAAAGGCCAAATTTTTCTCCGCCCATCGAACACAGGTGCCTGAAACATGTTTCACCTTTTGCAAGATCAAGTCAGTGCTACTTCATGAGTTATGCGAGACCACAACAGGAACATGTTTATATAGGTCAGCTTCCCGAATAAATGAGTCAAGAATCCGAAGCATCACAAAACGAATGGACTCCTTTTTATGATATTTAGTGATACTTTTGCAGAGCGCTGTAGCCCAAGGATAACAATAAATCTCGAGAAGTCTAAACATCGAATTACAACATCCAATGTGCTAATTTATTAATGCAGGTGCATCGGAGTTGCTGAGAAGAGCTCTAGAATATTCACAACACAAGTACTACATAGTTAATTTAGGCATTGAGTGTTGCCACTTCCCGCCCATATTCCTTGAGACTATTCCGTTTTAATATATTATATAGATATAGATATTAATGCATATGGCCGGGGAGAGAACACATAGGCGTTTAAGAGATCCAAATGAATAGTGGATATATCATAATTTTGTCTTAATCATAACTTTGTCTTTTTTTATAGAGAGATCATAAATTTGTCTTATATACTGAAAATAGGGAAAACTGTCAAATAGGTCCTCGAACTTTCATAAACAAGTCAATTAAGTCCTTCTATATGAGACTTTGTCTGGTCGTCGTGATTTGGGGTGGTTCCCGGTGGAATTTTTTGATGAAATTTCTTTTATCATCTTATTCATCAAGCCTAGTTTACTCATACCAAATTTCAGCTAAAAATTCAATCGGGAGCGCATTCAAATTAATTCGAGAACGCAAAAATGCACAGTTATCTTCAAGAATTAATTTGAATGTGTTCCCTATTGAATTTTTAGCTGAAATTTGGTATAAGTAAACTAGACTTGGTGAATAAGATGCTCAAAAAAATTTATCAAAAAATTTCACCGGGAACTGACCCAAATCACGACGGCCGGACAGAACCTCCTATAGAAGGACTTAATTGACCTTTTTATGAAAGTTCGAGGACTTATTTGATAGTTTTCCCCTGAAAATATGACTCTTTAGATAATTACGCCATAATATATATACGATATACGGAGTAGAGTAATATAAAAATTCAAAATTGAGAGTTTTTGTGCATATAATAAAATTGAGGAAGTTTGAACTTTGAAGAGAGGGATATAGTATTTTTTTCATGGTACCGCACAGTACGTATTGACTCCATATGAAATGAGTTACTTGCCTACTTGATTAGTTTTCCAAAAAGTAACACCCAACACATCCCTAAAATTCTACCTTATGCTAGAACCTTAAATCTATTATTGTCCATTAAAAAAATCCATTATTGTCCCATAATTTTAGCTCGCCAATCACGGCCACAGGAAGACCTGGGGATTAACTGGGTTTCAAAGAAATTTTTGTGTGGTAGGCCGTAGGCACAAATGAGATTTTAGTCAAAGAAGTAACGGATTCCTCTTTACCCTGCGAGTTTCGTAGGAGACTAAAAATTAAGTGCAAGGATAAGCGGTGGTAACCTAGCTAGTTTATAATAATGTAATTATATAAGGATTACTATGTAATTTCCTAAACTTGGTTTTTTAGTATAAATACATCCCAAGGCACCCAAGCCATTATTCCCAAATATTATTATTTCGTATATGGTATCAGTTGCCTAGGTTCCTTCTACGTTTCCTTCATGGTCGATCAAATAAACCCTACGACGGCCACCGTTCCAGCGGCGCCCGCCACGGCGGCGCAGCCCATATCCAGCGCCCCTGCAACACTAAACGGCGCACAAGCTTCCTTCGGTTAACGTTCCAGCATGGATCAGTTATCCCTTCCGCAGGTCACCATGCCAATTGGACCGTTTTCAACTGCCGCGCAGATCAGTTCTCCGTCGTCGGCATCGTTGTCCCAGCGCTTCCGTGGAGTTCAACCGCAAAATAATTACCGTCTCTTTGGCATGCCCGAGCCATTTACATGGGCGTCCTCTGCACCCACGATGACGTCGCTCACACTGCCCCCGCCGCCGGTTTTTCATGACGTTGGCAGCTCTTCCCGAATGTCGGAGTTCTCTGGCCCGACTTTTACTGGCCAACCCGGCGTGGCTTCCTTTCAGCAGACACCAGGACCGCTTTTGCCAGGTTTCAATAATTCACAGACTCCTTTATCCTCATTGGCTTCACAATTAGCCTTTTTTACCCCGAATGTTAATAATATTGTGACCACACGCCTGTCTGAGGTTGAAGATTATTTACCCTGGAGAACTCAATTTGAGTCTTTTTTAGTCTCTCACAGTTTGTTGGGAATTTTGAATGGGTCTATTCCGCCACCATCACCCACCACCATTGATTTATCCCGACAGGAAATTCCCAATGCTAACTACCATCATTGGCTTAAAATAGATCAGACTGTAAGGTCATGGCTTTTTGCTACTCTTGCTAGAGATGTCCTTATGGAAGTCTATGATTTACAGTTTTCACATCTTATTTGGGATCGACTTCAAAAGCGCTTCATGTCTGCATGTATTTCTCGTTCTGTTGAATTGAAGCGTTTGCTCTCTCATATTAAAAAGGACTCTCAGACTATGGATCAATATTTGCTTGAAATCAAACTTATAGCAGATAAATTAGCAGCCATAAAATCTCCTGTCAGTGCACGTGATTTAATTGAGTATGCTATCATTGGTTTGGGACGTGGTTATGAGTCCCTCATCAATAACATTGACTACATGCCTGGCATTCCCTCTCTGGAAGATATACGACCAATTTTACAAGCTCAGGAGCAGCGCAATCTATTCTTCCAGGCTCAAGAACAGCCCTCGGCACCCCAGGCGTTTGTAGCAGCTCCGGCTCCTGCAGCTCGGGGTGGTGCTCCACGTGGAGGGGGTGGTCCGAGGGGTCCAGGGGGTGGTCGCGGACAGCGTGGGGGTCGCGGTCATGGAGGACGAGGCCGCGGTGGCAGAGGATACTACCAGCAGCAGTACGGCATAGCTCCCTCCCCGTATGGTGTTTTTCCGGGGCAACCAGCTCCAGTTCAGCCGCGGGGGACTGCTTTTCCTGGGGCTCCAGGTTTGGCATTGTGTAATATTAGTTTTGGTTTTACTTATACTGATTATTTTCCTACGACTGCTACTCACAATGTTTATGCAGGTTTTCCATCTGTGGACCAATCTTTTCAGTCCCCTCCTCCCCCCGTTGTTTGTCAATTATGTTTTTCTCCAGGTCACTCTGCTCTACACTGCTCCCGTTTTACCGCATCTCATACCCCGGCTCTTTCTGCCCTACCCACTGGTGAAAACAATGATTCAGTCTGGTATCCTGACTCCGGGGCTAGTGCTCATATGACTCCACATGAAGGTATTCTCTCTTTTAAAACCCCTTACACTGGCTCTAATCAAGTTTGTGTTGCTAATGGTACTAAATTACCTATTTCTCGTATTGGTAGTTTAAAGCTTTCTACTCATGGCCGCCCATTAACACTCAATTCTGTCTATCATGTCCCACATATTAAATATAATTTATTATCTATTCAAAAATTGTGTGCGGACAATTCCTGTCAAGTGATTTTTGATAAAAACTCTTTTTCTGTTAAGGACACTCAAACGGGGGAGCTTCTTCTTCAGGCACATAATAGAGACCATGTTTACCCTTTTCATGCCCTTCAAGCCCGAGTGGTTCCTGGTCAAATTTGGCACAAGCGTGTGGGACATTGTGGTGATAGAGTACTTAGTAAACTTAGGCAGCATAAATTAATTTCCAGTTCTTCGTCTTTTATTCATGATTGTGTCTCGTGCAAGTTGGGTAAATCCCACAGACTCCCATTTACTGATGTTACTCATGATACTACTACCCCTTTACAACTTGTTCACTCCGATGTTTGGCAATCGCCTGTTTTATCAAACCTTGGTTTTAAGTATTATGTTTCTTTTATTGATGATTTCTCTAGATATACCTGGGTTTATCCTATGCGCCGAAAATCTGAAGTATTTACTCATTTTTGCAATTTTCAAAAATTAGCTGAAAATTTTTTGAACTTAAAGGTCAAAATTTTTCAGAGTGATGGAGGGGGTGAATTTGACAATACAGTTTTTCGTGAACACTTTGATAAATACGGAATTTTATTTAGAAAATCTTGCCCAGAAACTCCGGCTCAAAATGGTGTGGCAGAACGTAAACATAGACATCTTCTTGAATTAACTAGGACCATGCTAATTGATTCTTCTGTTCCTAGTACGTTCTGGGTTGATGCTCTTTATACTGCTACTTTTATTATTAATCGTCTTCCCACACCTATTTTGAATGGCCTAACACCTTATGAAAAGATTTTTAATAAACCTCCAGATTATCACTCTATGCGTGTCTTTGGGTGTTCATGTTTCCCAAATTTTATTGCTGCCTCTCACAATAAGCTATCACCTCGTTCCATTCACTATGTTTTTATTGGCTATGCACCGGGATACAAGGGCTATCGTTGTCTCTCACCATCCACAGGCCGAGTCTATGTTAGTAGGGATGTTACTTTTCATGAAAATGTTTTTCCCTATACTACACTAGTTTCCCCAACACCTAAGGCTTCATCCACCTTATCCCCTTCTTGGTTGTCCACTTCAACCTCTCGGCCACCCATTCCTAGACCTTCCTTATTACTGCCTTCCTCAACTCCACCATCCACTGTTTCCCCCACAGCCGTTAGCCCTTCGTCCCCACAAACTGCCCCATCTCCCACCAGTAGTCCCACCGAACATTACATAACCGAATATATTCCCAGTCCTGCCCCTTCTTCTGGCCGAGACCGAGAATCATCAATACCAAGTAGCCCAGCTTTTTCTGATGACCGTAGTTCACACGACACCAGCCCACCACCGATACCTATTGCTCCTGTGAATGTTCATCCCATGCGTACACGCGCTAAGGATGGAATTTTCAAACCAAAACAAATTTTTAACTTAACTATTTTAGCTCCTCCGGATGATCCTACTTGTTTTTCACAGGCAAATAAAAGTGAGGTTTGGCGGGCAGCCATGGCGGATGAATTTAATGCTTTAATTGCTAATAAGACTTGGGATTTAGTACCTTGGGACCAAACCAAAAATGTGGTCGGTTGTAAGTGGATTTATAAGACAAAATATTGTTCTGATGGATCTGTTGAGCATCATAAAGCTCGTTTGGTTGCTCAGGGTTTTAAACAACAGGTTGGCATTGATTTCACCGAAACTTTTAGTCCTGTCATTAAACCCACCACTGTTCATCTTGTTTTGTCTGTTGCTATTTCTTTGGGGTGGTGTGTCAGACAACTTGATGTAAAAAATGCTTTCTTACATGGTTATTTAACTGAAGAAGTTTATATGCGTCAACCACAAGGATTTATTCATCCCTCTTTCCCTAATCATGTATGTCGGTTACGCAAAGCACTCTATGGTCTGAAACAGGCACCTAGAGCCTGGTTTCATCGATTCAGTGGTTTTTTGTTGAGTCGGGGTTTTATGCAAAGTAAGTTGATTCCTCTATGTTTGTGTATCGTTCACACTCCCAGGTTGTTTACATTCTGTTATATGTGGATGATATTTTAATCACTGGCTCTTCCTCCTCTTTTGTTATGTCGATCATTCATACATTATCTCTTCAGTTTGCAATGAAAGATTTGGGTGACATCCATTATTTCTTGGGAATTCAAGCTCAGCGCACTCCCAAAGGATTATTTTTGTCTCAGTCAAAATATATTTCTGATCTGTTGCATCGATTTCATCTTCACACTGTGAAGCCGGTTCACACCCCTCTCCCATCTCGTACCACTCTTTCTCTCACAGATGGAGAACTCTTGTCTGATGCTACTGAGTATCGCAGTGTGGTAGGTGCTCTTCAGTATTTAATTATCACTAGACCTGATATTACATATGCTGTTCATCTGGTTTCCCAGTTTATGCATGCTCCCCGTACTATTCACTTATTAGCTGTCAAGAGAATTTACAGGTATTTACAGGGGACCTCTACACATGGTCTCTGGCTTCGGTCAGACAAAAACATTTCTGTTATTATGGCATATTCTGATGCAGACTGGGCAGGATGTCCAGATAGTTCTCGCTCCACCACTGGTTATGCTGTCTTTCTTGGTTCGAACTTGTGTCTTGGAGGTCCAAGAAGCAGCCCACTGTATCAAAATCTTCCACTGAAGCTGAATACAGGGCAGTTGCATATACCGTTCAGGATACACTTTTCATCAGATCTCTTTTAGCTGAAATGTGCATCTATATTTCGGCTCCAGTTACTCTTCATTGTGATAATGTCTCTGCATCCTACCTGGCCGTTAATCCCATCCAGCATGATCGCAGCAAGCACATTAAAATTGATTATCATTTTGTTCGCGAACGTGTGGCTCATGGCGATTTGGTCGTCAAGCATATTCCTACGCAGTTGTAGTTGGCTGACATCTTTACCAAGAATTTATCTAGTCAGCGTTTTGAATTTTTACGTTCCAATATGCGCGTTGTTTCTCCTGCACAAATTGAGGGGGTGTAATAATGTAATTATATAAGGATTACTATGTAATTTCCTAAACTTGGTTTTTTAGTATAAATACATCCCAAGGCACCCAATAGGGTAAGCCATTATTACCAAATATTATTATTTCGTATAGTTTATCCATATATCTTTAATAAACTTTTTTATTAAATAAACTTTTAATTTTGCTCACCAATTTATTATGATAATAATCAAAATTAGTAATGCTTTAGTAACTGTTGAGGTTTATTTCTTCGATCAATCCGTAGGCCCAACACGTAACACAATGATTTCGAGTGGAAGAGTGTGTACAACGCACAAATGCTACCTGGCCCGAGGCCGTTCGTCTATCTCCCTGAGGAAGAGCTGAGAACACTACTATAAGCTAAGAGAATGCTAGAATGTTAAGGCGAATAAGTTGTCAACCCTTTACAATGACATAAATGCTACTATTTATACTACCAAGGGGCAGATGGGTATGCTGACGTGGAGAGCTGTAGATGGCTAGGCTCCCACCACCAAATCTCCGGCATTAAATGCGCTTCCCGCCAGAATCTCGGTTTCCCGCCAAGCTTTGGGGACGAGCGTCCTCCTGGGCGTTGGGCCTTCTCTTGGCGTGGGATAAGGATCTCGAGTCGAGCGTCTTTAGCGTGTTGCTTGGTTTGTAGATGTTGTAGTACACTGGCTAGCCTTTGTGGCTAAGGCTCCCGAGGCCGAGCGTCCACTCACTGAGACGTACCTTGATGATGCCTTGGGCTGTCTTAAGGACAGCTACCCCTCGTGGGCTTGGAGCTTGGAGACGTGCGTCTGGTGGGCCTCTTCTTAAGGGAATAATGGGCCGACCCCTGGTTGGGCTATTAACCCAACACAAGTCCCCCACTTCTTATGTTCCGAGCATGCGCGGGACATAAGGAAGTATAAGTGCCCCCGCAGAGCTGAGCTAAGACGATGCTTCCACATGATTTTAACGAGTTCAACACTTCTCCGAAAAACTCCACATTATATTCTAGAACATTCAATACTTCTCCACACACACACATATAGAATCTCTTGGAAATCGATCTCTAAAAATTCTACAATTCTCATGAATTTCTCGACTAAGGAGGGAATCCAACATGGTCTCGAGAATGTTTTGATCTTTTTTATTACAAGAAATGTGACAACGTATTCGTCAAACTCAACACTTTCTAGCTCATTATAACCACGAAAAGCCAACATGTGTGTCATTAAATGTCTAAAATAATCCACACTTGCATTCAAATGAGTGTGGTATGCTGCAGGCAATACTTGTATTACTAGAGACACACATGTATTCTGAAAGACTTTGCCTTTTATTTTAACACTTAATCTAAAATTATCCTTAATTGATATTTATATTTGAAAAAAGGAGGGGCATTAAATATATTCTAAGTAGTATTACTAAAAAAATTGCCCAAAGCGGGGGCGCTTGCCCCCTCATGTCCCTCCCTAGCTCCTCCACTGGGTTAGCATATTTAAGATGAGTTTGCATTTGATCTCTACTCTCTCTCTCTCTCTCTCTCTCTCTCTATAGACTTTAAGATGGGTATGGATAAACTAGACTTGATGAAGAACATGCTCAAAAAATTTCATCAAAAACTTCGATCGGGAAGTGCCCGAAATGCCCTCGGCCGGACGGCGGTTCCCGTCAGGCCGGCTGGACATGAAGTCTATATATATATATATATATATATATATATATATATATATATATATATATATATATTTAAATGAGAACAAGCCTTAACGTGAGAACGTGAGAACAGATCTCAGCCATTGATTAATCTATACGGATCTGCACTCAACTTGATTAAACGAAGGCTATTTAGGTATTTTAAAATAAATCAGTTTTGGTAACCACCGTTGACAATTAATACCTTAGCTTCTTGATTTCACAATCCACTAATGCAATCATTGCATTCCATATATCATTAAATAATGCTTTTTATTTGTCACGTACTCACTTGAAGTCTTGAACTTTTTGAAATATTTATTTGTGTTGTTATCTTGTCAGTCATGAATAATGTTGTGATGATAACTAAAAAATTAAGACACTTTCTTCCCAATATATGATGTGCACTATTTATTTTCAAAAACCACTTTTATAATAATTTTAGATAATTTGTTTGCACAATTGGCTATAGTGCACAACTAGCTTATAGTGATGCACACACTTATTGTAATGTACATAACTTGCATAATTTTTTTATGTACACAAATAACATATACGACATGTGAGTCAGATACAAGTTCATGTGCATTACATATAGGTACTTATTCATTGTTATGTTATATATCATTGG